TGACCTCATCTTAGGGTATTTATATAAAAGATATTCAGCTACAAGATAAGTTTACTAAGTACTTTGAGTAAGTTCACATTTTGACACCAAAATTTACTCAGGGATGTCTTGGTTATTTACAGTTCATTTAAAAGAAAAAAAGAAAGAAAGCTACTTTGCACAAAATAGAATCACACACTTGAAAGGACCTTGAAAAATTATTTGGTTCTTAACAAAGGCGTACAGCTGCCAGCTCCCAGCTGTTAGCACCTACAGGATCTGTCTTAGATGGAAGGTCACACCCTTCCAGGGCCTCTGCCATCCAATAACGGAGCATGGCAGGGGTAACAGGGCCTGGCCATGTTCACTTAACACAGGACTTCTCTTTGCCCTTTGTTCCAGAGCTCCCTTTTATGTTAGCCAAGACTTAGTCAGATCTGTGTAATAATCTGAGGCTTCCTTTACCCAACACTGCTTTTTCCTCCCTTTCCTGACCCCTTTCCTATAACAGATCAGCATCACTCTACATAGGTTTTCCCTGCCTAATCATTCTTCCTCCTCTTTTTATCTCTCACAGACACTATGCTCATAATAAATTTCATGAACTCATAACTCTATCTCCACAGTGGTTTCCTGATGGACATAACTAATATAAAGAACATATTCACAATTAATATATCTGACAAAGATAAGTTTACTAAATACTTTGAGTATGTTCATATCTTGAGTCCAGGGTATATAAAAAGAACCTTTAAAATAGAATGACAGGGCCTCCCTGGTGGTGCAGGTGGTTGAGCGCAGCGCTGTGAAGCTGTCCACAGCATCTGCAGCGCAGGTTCAATCCCAGCAGGCGGGGAGATACCCACATGGCGTGGCAGTAACATTAAGAGTCTCTCTGGTGGCTTAAGGGGCTAAGTCTCAGCACTCTGAAGCTATAGGCAGCCAGAGGGAGCCAACCCAAGTGGCACAGCAAACCTCTCCTGTCCTGCCCACTGCTCCCCTCAGCAGTGTATTTCAGTCAGTCTGACTGTTCTGTTCCCCACTCTGTCTCTGGTGAATCCTCTTACCGCCCCCCCCGCCCCCCGTACATCTGGCCTGTACCCTGGTTCTTGTATGCACGAATAAAAAAATCTTTAAAAAAATAGAATGACAACCCAATTTTTTTTAAAGATTTATTTATTTATGCATATAAGAACAGGGGTGTAGGCCAGAGGTGGCGGGGGGAGAGGATTCACCAGAGATACAGTGGGGAACAGAACAGGTGGATTTACTGAAATACACTGCTGAGGGAAGCAGAGGAGTGGGGCGGGGCACAGGAGAGGTCTGCTGCACCATGTGGGTCAGCTCCCTTACCCGCTAGGGCTCCAACTTCTACTAGTGCTACAGTAGCTGCAGATTGCTTCCGATTGCTTCCTAGTGCTGACACTTAATTAACCCCTTGCACCATGAGGGAAGCTCCGACAACCCAATTTTTTTGAGGGCAGAGACTTCATTTATTTTTTTTAAGATTTATTTATTTATGCATACAAGAGCTGGGGTACAGGCCAGAGATGTGGGGAGGGGGCGGTTAGAGGATTCACCAGAGACAGAGTGGGGAACAGAACAGGCAGACTTACTGAAATACACTGCTGAGGGGAGCAGTGGGCAAGATAGGAGAGGTCTGCTTCGCCATGTAGTTTCTCCCTGGCAGACTGGGGATCAAACTCCTGCTGCAGAGGCTGCGGATTGCTTCATAGTGTGGTGTTTAACCCCTTGCGCCACCAGGGAGGCCAGAGACTTCATTTAAAAATATGTGTGGGGAGGCCTCCCTGGTGGTGCAAGGGATTAAGCACAGCACTATGAAGCTATCTGCAGCCACTGCACCAAGCATTTGATCCCCAGCCAGGAAGCTAACCCACTTATGGAGCAGCAGACCTCTCCTGTCTTGCCCGCAGCTACCCCTCAGCAGTGTATTTCAGTTAGTCTGCCTGTTCTGTTCCCCATTCTGTCTCTGGTGAATCCTCTCACCCACCCACCCACCCACACCTCTGTCCTGTACCCCAGTTCTTGCTTGCATGCATAAATAAATCTTTTTAAAAGTAAAAACAAGGGCTTCCCTGGTGGCAGAGCAGGTTGAGCGCAGCTCTGTGAAGCTGTCCGCAGCCTCTGCAGTGCGGGTTCGATTCCTGGCCAGCCAGGGAGATACTCACATGGCACGGCAGACCTCTCCTGTCTCGCCCACTGCTCCCCTCAGCAGTGTATTTCGGTCTGTCTGTGTATTTCGGTCTGTCTGTGTATTTTGGTCCGTCTGCCTGTTCTGCTCCCAGCTCTGTCTCTGGTGAATCCTCTCACCCTCTCGCGCCTCTGGCCTGTACCCCAGTTCTTGTATAAAAATAAATAAATCTTCTTAAAAAAATAAAAATATGTGCAAGTGAAAAATAAACAAATGTAAAGATGTTCAGTATCAAGAAGCCATCTGTAAAATAAAAATTAAAACTACTGTAATATACCTCTATACACCTATCAGAATAGCTAATATTTTTTAAAAAGCACTAACGATTGTAAGTGAGGTAGAGGGTGTAAAACATTACTGTTGGAGCATAAAATAGCTTTTTAAAAGTTTGGCAGTTTCTTATAAAGTTAAATTTTACTGTACTATATTACTCAACAATTCCACATCTATATATTACCCAAGATAAGTTTAAAAAAGTACACAAAACAATTTGTACAAAAATATTCATAGCAGTTTTATTCACAAAAACGAAACAATTCAAATACCTGACAACAAATGAATAGACAAATTGTATGGTATATTTGTACAATGAAAAGAGTACTTAACAAAAAAGAACAACCTACTGGCACACGCAATCACGAAGGAATCTCTAAATCACTATGCCAAGTCAAAGAAGCCAAAAACAAAACAGACATAAAGGATTCTATTTCCACGAACTTCTAAAACTGGCACAACTAATTGTGATAGAAATTGGATCAGAGGTTGCCTCAGGCAGGTGAGGGATTGACTGCAAAAAGGTATGAAGGAATTTTCTACAGTGATGGAATTTTCTATATCTGGGCAGTTACACGGGTATATATAACTGTATGCTCAAAATATATGCACATTACTGCATGTAAATTATACCTCAATAAAGTTTTTTTAAATGCATTCCTGGGTCTCCCTAGTGGCTCTTCACAGTGCGGTTGATTGCCACACTGTGAAGCTGTCTGCAGCCTCTGCAGCATGGGTTCAATCACTGCCGGCCGGCAAGAATCCCACATGGCGAAGCAGACCTCTCCTGTCGTGCCTGCTGCTCCCCTCAGCAGTGTATTTCTTCAGTCTGCCTGTTCTGTTCCCTACTCTGTCTCTGGTGAATCCTCTCACCCTCCTGCACATCCAGCCCATACCCTGGCTTTTGTATAAAAATAAATAAATCTTTAAAAAAAATGCATTGCTAACAATTATAAACCATGTGCTAAATAAATACTGAATATTAAACAAGTATATAAATACTATAATATATCTATTATTTGTTGGCATTGTAAGTGGAATATTTTTCTATTTACATTTCTAGGTGGCTACTGCTAGAAAATAAAGAGGTCACTGCTCTGTTATTTTTCTTACATCCATAACCTTATCAAATTTCCTTATTCTATCATGGGTTTCGTAGGCATACAATTGTAATAAACAGCAAGCAGAAATAACTTCATCTCTTCTTTTTTTAGTTATATTTATTGAAGCAATGACAATTTGCATTCAAGTATAGGTTTACACCTCTATAATTTCATGGTTTTTTCACCACAAGCACCACCAAAGCCCCAGTAATCCTACATTAGACATCCCTCTCCCCTTTGCTCCCACCCCATCACATACCCTTGCTGGTAGCCTTAGTCATAATCCTTGTGCTCTTCCCCTCCTGTCTTCATCTTTCCCCTTTACTCATTTCCCTCCCCTCTCCTCCTGAATGCATCAGATCTATGGTCAGCTTTTACCCAAGATAAGTTAAAAAAAAGTACACAAAACAATTTGTACAAAAATATTCATAGCAGTTTTATTCACAAAAACTGGAAACAATTCAAATACCCGACAACAAATGAATAGACAAATTGTATGGTATATTTGTACAATGAAAAGAGTACTTAACAAAAAAGAACAACCTACTGGCACATGCAATCATGAAGGAATCTGTAAATCACTATGCCAAGTCAAAGAAGCCAAAAGCTTTGTCTGACCTTTTGTTTGGTTTTTCTATATTCCACATAAAAGTGAAACCATCCAGTACTTCTCTTTCTGGCTTACTTCACTTTGCACAATCCCTTCCAGCCTCATGTTGCCGAAAATGGTATGATTTGATCTTTGTTGATCACTGAGTGGTATTCCATTGTGCATATTTACCATATCTTCCTGATCCATTCATCAGTTTTGAAGCATCTAGGCTGTTTCCATATCTTGGCTATTGTAAGTAGTGCTGCAATAAACATAGGAATGCATTTTTCCTTTTGAATTAGTGCTTTTGTGTTCTTTGGGTAGATATTTAGGAGTGGGATTGCTGCATCATAGAGAAGATCCATTTTTAGTGTTTTGATGAACCTCCACACAGTTTTACATAGGGGCCACATTCCCACCAACAGTATATGAGGGTTCTTTCTCTCCACATCCTCACCATAACTTGTTTTCAAGATTTTTTTCATATGGGCAATTCTCACAGATATGAGGTGTATCTCATTGTGGTTTTGATCTGCATTTCCCTTATAAGTGATACCAAATTTTTTTTTCATGTGCCTGTTGGTAAGCTCTATGTATTTTTTAGAGAAGTGTCTCTTTAGATCTTTTTCCCATTTTTTATTGGGTTATTTGTTTTGTTCTTGTTGAGTTGCATAAGCTGTTTTTTTAAAGATTTATTTATTTATGCATACAAAAACTGGGGTACAGGCCAGAGGTGTATGGGGTGAGAGGATTCACCAGAGACAGAGTGGAGAACAGAACAGACAGACTGATGGAAATACACTGCTGAGGGGAGAAGCAGGCGGGTCAGGAGAGGTCTGCCACACCATGTGGGTAACCTCCCTGGCCAGGTATCTAACTCTTGCTGCCGTGGCTGCAGATAGCTTCATAGTGCTGCGTCTTAACCCATGGTGCCACCAGGGAGGCCCTGAGTTGCACAAGCTCTTTGTAGATCTTTGATATCAGTCCCTCGTCAGATGTGTGATGTATAAATACTTTGTCCCATTCAGATGGGTGTCTCTTCATGTTGGTTACTGTCTATTGTGCTGTACAGCAAAGGAGGTAAAAGACCTAAACAATGAAAACTTTAAAACATTGCCAAAAGAAGATAAGATACTCCCTGCTCTTGGATAGGAGGATTCAACATTTTCAAAATGACAATCCTATCCAAAGCAATTTACATATTCAATGCAATCCCAATTAAAATTCCAAACACATTCTTACTGAAATCCACATGAAATCATAAACAACCCTGAATAGTCAAAGTTTTCTTGTCAAAAACAGAGAATATGGTTGTCACATTGCCAGACTTCAAACTATACTATAAAGCCCTAATAATTAAAATAACATGGTACTGGAACAATGTACCAGTGTTTATTTGACACAGAGACCAATGGAATAGAATTGAGAGTCCAGAAATAAAATCACAGATATATGGACAATTAATTTTTTATAAAGGAGTAAAGTATATATGCTGAAACAAGAATTCTCTTCAGCAAAAGAGACATTAAGCAAAACTAAGAGACACCCTATGAATTGGGAGAAAATTTTTACATTCCATACAACTGATTAAGGGACTGATCACAAAAACATACAAAGAGCTCACATGACTCAACAAAAACAAGGTAAACAATCCAGTCAAAAAATGGGCAGAAGACCTAAAAAGATACTTCTCTAAAGAGGAAATGCAAATGGCCAACAGGTACATGAAAAAATGTTCAATACAACTTATCAGGGAAATCAAAACCACAATGAGATACCACCTTACACCAGCAAGAATGGCACAAATTAAAAAAGCTAGCAGCAACAAATGTTGGCCAGGATGTACAGAAAAAGGAACTCTCCTACACTGCTAGTGGGAATGTAAACTGGTCCAACCACTATAAAAGCTGCTTGGAGTTTCCTCAAACTACTGAAAATGGAGCTACCATATGAGCCAGCTGTCCCGACCCGCGGGATTCACAGGCAGGAAAAGAGAAGGGCTGAGGATTGAAATGAGGGGCTTGAGACAACCTGATGCTAGTGTTTACTTCTTTATTTTTCCTTTACCTTTCTTTTACTTTTCCCTGACCTTCTCTCTGCTCCTCTCGCGGTAACCTCTCGCAATAATAATCTCCTGACCTTCTCGTGGTTCTCTTCTTATACCTGGTAGCTCCTCCCATCGTACCTCCCAGTCTCATTTGATTAATAGGAAACACCTGTGGTTTCTCAGCAGGCAAACGGTAAAGCAAAAACTAATTAATAGCACGTGTGTTGCGCAACATGGCGCATGCTCCAGGCGGCTCCGGACATCTCCCCCTTTTTTCTTTTAAATGAGACACCTGGCCTGTCTTAGGTTGGCATATTCCGTGACCAGCCTTACCCGTCATCGCTAATCAGGCGCACTTGGTCCGGACCGCTGTCTTAGGTTGGTCTGGACGGGCTACGCTCTTACCCATCTTTAGCTCTCAGGTTCTCTAGGGCTAAGTTGACCCATCCGGATGCCACTGGGGAGTCCTGGTCAAGTACCATGGCGCCAAGTACTTGCCTGACCGCAATAGCACGTTTTTTGTTTCGCCTCCGTAGCCGACGGAGAAACCATATGCAGACTGCACAAATAGCAACTCTGGGAGGAGTCCTCTAAACCAGGCAATGAGACCCTCACTTATAACAGGGGTAACCCGAGTGTTGTTAACAGTTATGAGCTGTCTCGCCAATTGAGAGGTCAGGTTCAGGAGCTGGTGGTTCCAAGGTCCTCTGATTACACTATTTAACCTATTTTCTTCCATAAACATATTTTTCACCATAACAGGAATTACACAAATAAAACTGTACAAAAAGTTACAATGCATGTGAGCAGTTAACAAAAGTGTGTATCCCTTTTTACATCAGAGCTATCTGCTAATTAAGCATCAAAAGTCCATTTCATAAATGTTCATTCATATCTTGCTATGTTGATAACACAAAAACAACATTGGCAACTAAATTGTTTATAGTGTCAGCATTTGCAGCAGTTTGAGTGACAGACGGTGGCGGCAGCCGCGGCCACCGCTATTGAAACAGCGACAACAGCTGCAGTGATGCCAAAATCACGTCTCCTCCTAGGTAGAACAGGAGAAAGATGTGCAGAAACATCCACAGTTATGACTAAAGTAGAAGGCAGACGAACGATCACTGCCCTCTCCGCACTCCGGGTCCAGCAGGCAGAGAGGGTGCAGGGCTCCGCTGAACAATTCAACACAGTTGCATTTCCTGCATTATTGAAGAGGACAAAAAAGAAGGAGGGGACAGGCAAACAACAGTAGACAAACTCTCTGATCTATTATTTTGGATACTAATGGATTGTTCAATGGTAGAACTAATGTTTGCAGATTAAATGTCATTAAATAATTTTACCTCACCCTGGCCCAACAGGGCACTATCCAATGGCTTGGAAGCCAGACCAGTAGTAAGATTAGTGGCAAACACTTGCGGAAAAATGGAATCATGACGAGCAAAAAGGAGCAAAAAAGGCAGCTGATGCACAATCGCCCATCGTACTGACATCTGGGACGCTTGTGTCATCAAGGTTAGCAGGGTCAGGTATATTGACAAACCGAACCAATCGAGCAAGAACCCATCGGGGTGCTTCCGCATCCTGTGGGAAAAGACAAATGCTGCCGGGCAGCTGTATTAATACTGGTGCGGGTGGTTGCCACTCATTATTAACCTGGTCCTTCCATGTCGCTTGCAGCATCGTGACCTGCCGAGGGTCTGGAGACCAGTGCCGATCAGCAGCTGACCGCCCCTGGGTATCTAGGGTCAAAAAATTAAGGGTAAAGAGAGCTGTAGTCAAACGGTCCCTGGGGGAGTGTTCTCCCCGTTTGTTTTAAAAGCATAGTCTTCAGAGAACCATGGGCACGTTTAACTATACCCTGCCTCTGCGGGTTGTATGGAATTCCTGTTTTGTGCACAATGCGATGGACCGCACAAAAGGAGGCAAAAGCCTTACTGGTATAACCAGAACCGCTATCTGTCTTAATGACACGTGGGCGGCCCATTACCGCAAACGCTTGTAACAAATGTGAGCGGACATCAGAAGTCTTTTCACCGCAATGTGGGGAGGCGAAAAGAAAACCAGAGAATGTGTCGATGGAGACATGTACTCTAGTAAGCACCCCTTGAGGATCTGTCCCTTCCATGACTGGGTAAGCATAATTAGGAGCCTGGGAAACCAAGGCTCTTTCCATCATAGAGCACAGTCTTTCCATTAACGGAAGATCAACCCTGTCCAGTGTTCTAGGAGGTGGCGCAGGAGGTGGCTCCCCAGGTGTTTTCCATCTCCTTTTACGCTTCCTTGGATTATAACAACTGAGACCTTTCTCATCCTGTTCCTCCTCTCCTCCCGACTCATGGGTAGAATAATCTAGGGGAGGGGCTGTTGGTATTTTTTGAGTAGAGGAAGGGGGACTTACCGATGTAGAACTCATAATGGAACTTCTATCTTCTTCCTCTGTTTGTCTCGCTGTCCTGACGGCCTCAGTGGCTAACTGAGCGGCAGCAGTACCACAGGCATTAAGAGCATCTCCCACCACTCCCCAGACCATCAAGGTAGGGCCAGGAAGAGACTCAAGACCATATAATTGTTGAGGTAAGACGATATCTCCTTTTACCTTATTCCATTTGGCACTATCGACCTGATCCTGCTCCAGAAACCACTTACTAGTGATACTAAGGGTCTCTACAAATCTTTTAAGAATTTTTCTACTGAGAGGAACCCCAAACTCTTTTAGGAGAGCTTCCAGGGAAATAACTAACTGCCCCTTGGACATTGCATTGCCCATGATCCCAGCTACCTTACCTTACTTTACTTTACTTGCCGGCTCACCACAGCTGGTCTTTCAGCGGTTCCTTCGTTCTTTTTCGTGCCGCACGTTGGGCGCCACCTGTCCCGACCCGCGGGATTCATAGGCAGGAAAAGAGAAGGGCTGAGGATTGAAATGAGGGGCTTGAGACAACTTGATGCTAGCGTTTGCTTCTTTATTTTTCCTTTACCTTTCTTTTACTTTTCCCTGTCTTTCTACCTTCCCTGACCTTCTCTCTGCTCCTCTCGCGGTAACCTCTTGCAATAATAATCTCCTGACCTTCTCGTCGTTCTCTTCTTATATCCTGGTAGCTCCTCCCATCGTACCTCCCAGTCTCATTTGATTAATAGGAAACACCTGTGGTTTCTCAGCAGGCAAACGGTAAAGCGAAAACTAATTAATAGCACGTGTGTTGCGCAACACGGCGCAGGCTCCAGGCGGCTCCGGACACCAGCAATTCTACTCCAAGGAATCTATCCAAAGAGCACAAAAACATTAATTCAAATGGACACCTGCATCCCTATGTTTACTGCATCACTATTTACTATAAGTAAAATATGGAAACAACCCAAATGCCCAAAAATAGATAACTGGATCAAGAAGATGTGGTATATATACACAATGAAATACTATTCAGCAATCAAAAAGATAAACTCGTGCCATTTGCAGCAACTTGGATGAGCTGGAAGGACTTATGATCAGTAAAATAAGTCAGAAGGAAAAAGAAAAATATCAGATGGTTTCACATATAGGAGGAATATAAGGGGACCAAATAAGGGATCAGAAAAAAATAATAAATAAAAAAACAAAATTAACAGGCAACTATAAATCAGAGACATTCTGCAGGGGAGGGGGAAGGAGAGGGATTAAAACAGGAGGGCGGTGGAGCAGTGGTTGAGCACTGGGTTGTGAAGCTGCCTGCAGCCTCTGCAGTGCCGGTTCGATCCCCGGCTGCTGGGTGAGGGTCCCACATGGCGCACAGACCTCTCCTGCTGTCACTGCTCCCCTCAGCAGTGTACTTCGTCACTCTGCCTGTTCTACTCTCCGCTCTGGCTCTTGTGAATTCTCTCACCCTCCCGCACTTCTGACTGCACCCAGTGCTTGTATAAATAAATAAATAAATCTTTACCAAAAAAAAAAACAAACAAACAGGGGAGGGAAAAACACAAGGGACTATAGTGATGGTACACACTGGTGGGAATTTTATGGGGAGTAAACCTGAGAGGAGAAAGCAAATATTGTACAAAAATAAACAATAATGTAAAATATATATAAATAAAAATTTAATTTTTTTAAAAAGATTTATTTTTTTATTTATACAAGGACTGGCTACAATCAGAAGCGCTGGAGGGTGAGAGAATTCACCAGAGCCAGAGCAGAGAGCAGAACAGGAATAATGATGAAGTACACTGCTGAGGTGAGCAGCGGGTGCCGCAGGAGAGGTCTGCGAGCCATGTGGGACGCCCCCTGGTGGCCGGGGATGGAACCTGCGCTGCAGAGGCTGTGGGCAGCTTCGCAGCCCAGCACTCAAGCACTGTGCCACAGGAGAGGCCCAAATTTTAAATTTTTTTAAAAAGAGGAAAAATAGATCTGCTATATGATCCAGAAAAAAAAGTCTCTTCAATAAATGGTGTTGGGAAAACTGGACTGCCACATGCAAAAGAATAAAATTAGACCACTGTCTCACCCCATACACAATAATCAACTCAAAATGGATAAAGACTTAGAGGAGCTGAAACATAAGACATATAGCAGAAACAGAGAAAAACACTCTATGACATAAACTTCAGAAACATCTTTGAGAAGTCATGTCAAGCAACTATATCAAATATCATCTATATCAAATTTCATCTCTTCTTGACCAATATTCATTAGTCTGCAAAAGAACACTGAACATAGTGATCTTCACCAGATGTCCCTTTTCTCTAAAGGAAATTATCTTAACACCTGAGCGTTCAGAATACTACTTGCTGTTGGGTTTTAGACAAATTCTGTATCAACTTATAGTTTCCATTTAATTGTTATGATTTTTAATTTTTTCAAATAACTTTTCAGCATTTATTACTATAACATGTTTTTCCTCCAACAAATTGTTAGTGTAATGAGATGAGATATGCTTAGATTTCCTAATATTACAACAGTGTTCTTTCCTTGATTAAAACCTCTTGAATTATTCTTTTAACAGGGTATTGGATTCTCCATTGAATACATTTTCATAAGCTAATTTGAAGTTTGGTTGCTTTTATATATATACTCTCTATCAGGTTACAGTAAGACTGACTTCAATAAAATGCTTTAAGGAATTTCCATATTTTTCTTTGCCTTAGAGTACATAAAAATATTTAATAAGCCATAATTCTGAAAAGATTGACAGGGGTTTAAGGAATGTAGACAATTTTTTTATAGTAGACATTGATCCTCCAATTTTTCTATGATAATTACTCTCTTCATGTTTTCTACTTGTAGGGTCGGTTTCATTAGGAAGTCATTCTTATTTCCTAGGTTTGCAAGATAGGTTTGCAAGATAGGCTCTTGAATTTGGTTAGTAATGTATAATACTTGGATTTCTTTTCTGCCTCTCTCTCTCTCTTTTAAATCAGGACCAAGAGAGGATTGCCCTTCTTATTGGTGTTTTCACTATTAAGTGTTTTCACTATTAAGTGTTTTCAAAGACTCAGTTTTATAATTTACTTACGCATGTTTGGGGGTTTTATTTTATTAATTTTAATTGTTATCTTTCATGTTTCCTTTACTACCATTTTGCTCTAGTTAGGAAATAAATCATTATTACATGACTACGCAAAGGACCAAAAAAAAAAAAAAAAAAACAGGACTAGTACTGTGCCTATTCATTCATTTAGATCTGTTTCAACATCTACTATGTGTCAGTACCTTGCTGATGCTGAGATATATAATAATGAAACAAGTCACAGCCCTCGTGGAGTTAATTGCCTACTTTTACGGCAAATGAAAAGGAACCTGAGCCAGTGAAGGATACTGCGAATCAATAAGAAATGTATTTGTAAATACCGGATGGTCTCAGTCATAGCAGGAATCTAGAAAACCTAAATAAGGGACCAGGAAAAAGAATAACTATAAGAAAAGAAAAAATCAAATCAACAAACAACTATGAACCAGAGATACACTATTGCGGGGGGGAGGAAATATTGGGGTCAAAATAAGGGGGGTGCAATTGTATGAGGAATAGAAAATTTTTTTGAATAAAAAAAGAAATGTATTCGTTTTTCAAAGGTACACTATATATGTTGATATCAAAACGGCCGCAGTATGTAACATTTCGATTCTATTCCGTCCTCCACCACCCCCGCCCATTATAAAATTTTTGTCAATGACTGCCAAATCCCTTAAATACTCTGAGATGGATTCTAAGAGTCGGAGTCTCTGGCAATCACCCATCCACTGAACTACGGTGACCGGTTTCGCGAGTGCGCGTCTCCCATGCTCAGACCACATTCTCACGGTGGGACTGGCAAGTGTTTCTCTGAGGCGTCCAGGATGCCTGCTACAGAGCTCAGGTCGGACAGCCCCGCGAGGGAAGACTCAGCTTAGCCGACATTAAGCGCAAATCCACATTTGTGCAAACTAAGGGAGCCCCGAAGCACCAGCGTTTGAAAAGGGATGGGGGAAGCCCCCACGCCCGAGCCACCCCACGCGGCGCCCACCTACACGCATGCGCAGTGGCCGCTGGCGCGCCGCCTCGCAGTCTTCGCCCCGCCCCTCAGGCCGGAAGGTGCTGCCGGCGTTTCCGGCGCGCGGCGTCCCGGCGTCTGCCCCGGCGATGTCGTGGGTCCGGGCCGCTCCGCTGCGCGGGGCTCCGGGGGCGGAGGGTGATGTGTTTGACGAGGAAGCGGACGAGTCGCTCTTGGTGCAGCGGGAATGGCGGAGCCAAATGCAGAGACGAGTCAAAGTAAAGCGGAAGGGAGGGTGCGGGGGCTGGGAAAGGAGAGGGGCACCCTGATACGCCGGGAAATGAGGAGCGGGCGCCGATTTGTGAAAAAGTTAGGTCCCGACCTGGCCCACCCCCATCACCGCTCGTTGCCATCCAGTACAACCCACATCCAGATAGGGATTTCCCAGTTACTTGAAAGTCTGTGAAGCCACGGGTTGCGTTCTTTGAGCGCCTGGGAGTGCGATAGAGCCTGGGAACCGACTAAAATAAACTTTCTCTAGACCTTGAAAAGATCTCGACTTTTTGATGAGGATCACAGGGCAGGGGGTGGGGGAGAAACATAAACGCTGACAACACATATTATGTCTGTCGAAGTACAGGTATGCTTGGGTTGTTGCTCTAATGGATGAGGAGCCTAAAGTTAGGTGTGGCGTTAGTCAAGGAAAAGCGAACTTGAAATGTCAAAAGGCGATAAAGAAAAGGTAATGCGGAATACTGGTGGGTGTTAGATGGTTTCTTTTCTACTCATTAGGTGTGAATTTTCCATCTCTAATTTTAGTGTCACAATTCATTGAAACTAAGCCTAATAGTACACTCCCAGGTTCCTCTTCATCCAGAGCAGCACTCTCAAGAGTTAAGGTCAGAGTGAGAACCAAAAAACAGGTTGATTTCCACTTAAGTAGCCTTAGCCAACCATTCAGTTGCCCCTAAATCTGATGTTGACACTTTCAGAAATACTCTGTGAGAAGCTGAAATCTTTTCAGTGGGCCTCTTTGAGTGCTGTGGCACCACAGACGATGCAGGATAAAATCCCTGCCCACTGTTTGCAGTTTAGTTGAATGTTGGTATCAAGCAAAACGTCTAAGATCAGACTTTTCATCTTCCTTTTGTTAAGCCAATTTCCTCTTCCCTGCTTAAGTTAGTTATCCAAGACCTTTCCTAGCCCTGTTTACTGCCCTAGCACCTCACCCACTCTCTCCAATCCAGTCAATTGCCAGCAGATCAGAATGTAATGCCCCATGTTTTCTTTCTCTGAATCTCTTTATCAGAGTTTTTTAAAAAAATGTAAGAGTCAGTATTTTTAAATATCCAAAATATGTATAATGCAATGTTACTCGAGTAAGTTTAAATAAAATAGATTTCAAGAATAAAGTTAGCTGATCGGTTTTTTTAATGTGTTAAGTAAATATTTCAAAAATGGAATAAACCAATAATATATTTATGAGAAGTATAGTCCACTTTGGTTATGTGATTATACCCAATGTTTCAGAACCATGATGTTAAAAAACAGTAAAACTGAGTTCATCAGTTTTTTAAATTGGTTGTATAATTTTCTAGAAAAGCCTACTATGGTTCACTTGGTATTAGTTATTCCTGCAATTCCTTATTCTTTATTTTTAGGAAGGTTATAGAGATGGAATAGATGCTGGCAAAGCAGTTACTCTTCAACAAGGCTTCAATCAAGGTTATAAGGACGGTGCAAAAGTCATTATGAACTATGGACAACTCAGGGGGACTCTGAGGTAATTTTTGAAACAAATGCTGAATAATTTTAACTGCTAATACCTGAGAATATTTGTTTTTTAAAAAGTATGTAAAAATAAAATATTTAAACTGTAGTGTTTTTTCTAGCATCAAAGCCACAAGAACTGCAAAGTATAGAATATTACTTTCAAGAGTCAAAATCATCAGTTTGTGCACCTTAATATATGGGGAGGTGTGTCCTTTATTGCAAAGAAATGATGGGAAGGTGTGTATTTCTTGCTAACCAAGCTATCACCAGTCTCTGTCTTAAAAGTAATGATAAGGATCTTCAGGAATAAAACTTTTAGTTTTAGGAGAACAATATGGCAGACATTTAGGCTAGAAAGACATGAAAGAAATTATAGCTGGCAATAGAGAGAAAAATAACTGAATGTTAGATACCTGTCAAGATTCCTTAGTAATAATGGCATTTATCAGAGCCAAGTGGCCAAATACCACATGATGCTAGAAGCATGACATTTGTTATGCTTTGCATTTGTCCTCTGTGATGCTTTCTACCTCTGAAACTGTCCCCTATATAGAGAAAAACAAAATGATTCTAAGAATCACTACTTCTAAAAAGGGTAGGAAACGAAAGTTATCAAAAAATAAATTCATTGTGGTTTTAGAAAATACACCTGTCAGCAATGAGAATTTATATATATAGTCTGCTACAATAGGAAATGATAAAGTATCCATCTTCACACCAAGTTACATTAATCTTTTATAAACTTAGAAAGCTTATTGCTAAATCACTTATATCACAACAATCATTTATAAAGCAATTTTCACAACAATCATTTTATGACATCTGAATAATCTGAAATGTTAAAAAGCAGAAGTACTGTCTATACTAGTTTTAAGAAACACTAGTTTTAAGAAAATGTTTGATGTCCTCAAAGGAGAAATTAATATTTCTGATTACTCTTATCTCCAAATTATATGCCTCTTCAACAGAACCTACACAGTCATACAAGGGAAAATCTAAAATTAGAAAAAGTAGATGTGGCTCTGTGAAGAAGATATTATAAACATTTTTTATGATTAAGTCTAATTGCTAATCTATTGAAAGCTAATATCCATATGTGTGTGTTTATATTCATATACACATATATATGTATGTATATATATTTTTAGGTCCTGTTTTACCATTATCACTTTCCTGATTTTGACTTGCATATTATTATTAACCTATTTTTTTGTGGATTATGAGATGGAAGAGAAACAAAAGGATTAGCATCAAAAATTCTAAAAGTTTTTCCAATTTAACTTTTGTTTATATCTTTATTCAGTGCTTTGCTCTCCTGGTGTCACCTTCATGATAATAGTTCGGCTTTGATCAGTAAAATAAATAATCTTCTGGATGCAGTTGGCCAGTGTGAAGAGTATGTGCTCAAACACCTGAAATCAATCACTCCGCAACCCCATGTAATAGATTTATTGGACTCCATTCAAGATATGGACCTCTGTCATGTAGTTCCAGCTGAGAAAAAGATTGATGAAGCTAAAGATGAAAGACTCTGTGAAAATAATGCTGAGTTTAACAAAAGTTGTAGAAAGAGTCTTAGTGGGGTAGATTGTTCATCTTTAGAATGTTGTAGAACACAGGAGCATGCACAGTCTGAAAATCCAAGCCTCACATGGATTTTAGAACAGACAGACAATTTAGTAAAACAGCTGGGTCTGTCAGTAGAGGTATTACAGCATCTCAGACCACTATAAAAAGTATCTTCACTTCTAATGAAAATATTCAGAACATTTCTTAGATCATTTTGTTTCTTAACGTGCTAACCAAAAATTGTACTTGTTTCTACATTGAACATTTCACTTACAGGGTTAGCCTTCATGGAAGTTTGAAATGTCTTCAATATTAACACTATTAAATGTAATATAACTCTTTGTTATTGAAAATGTTTATGTAGTTTAAGATACATTCACCTCTTTGTGTTTTTCATTTTCATTATGACAGTGTATCATTGTCATTTTCAAATTTCTGATCAACACTAGGATTTTTCAGACTCTTTAGCAAAAGTGAACAAGAATCAAACGTTTCATAAGGATTTAACCCTACTTTCTGCTCAAGTTACAGTCAGGTGGTTAGGACCTCATCACTAGCTCACCAGACCAAAGTTAGCAAAAATACTCTCATGGCTAACATTGTGAACAGATAGACACACATAGGCATATCCAGATATGTAGAAATGTTGAAATTAAGAGACAATAAGCATAAGAAACTGAAGAAATGTTAAATAGAATACTAGAAATTGATACTAGTTTCCCTTTGATTAAAAGAAACATACTGCTTCAGAAATAATACAAGAAATGTATTTCATGCTCACGTACCTACTTAGGCTTTCCAAGTATTTGGAAGTTAGCACTGTTGATCTAACAAAGTGCCAGATTATTTCTAAACTGTGGTTTTGTTTTATATTTATACGAGAATAAAACACTAATGACTGATTTTTGTATTATCTTGTACTGATGTTTTTAGTCTAGCATAGACAAATTAGATTCAAACTTTTACCCCAGGATATAAACATTTCAAGATCCAGGAAGGATTTTTTCATCCCTTTTTTTGCCTGGAACAAATTTATGTGAGGTGTCTGACTTAGAGACACCCAAATAATTGCTCTTTGTTGACAGCCTTAAAAGCTTCATCACCCATGTTTATATCTATCATTTCCTCTAAAAGACAGGCATACTGAGATAGAGAATCTGATAAAATGGGTTTATGAAGAGTTTTTTTAATATGCAATTGTGATCTTACAACCTCCTCAGAGTTCACAGAACACGAAAAAATTGAAGTGACAAATCTGAAATTGGAAGACTATAGTGTTTCAGAATTTATTAAAAAGAGATAAGTAATATTTGACTGCTGGGTAAAAAAAAAGTGCTCACTTTTACCTCCAGATGTGAAAACTATTTCAGAGATTTACTAATTTATTAACAAACTTATACGTCAAAAATCTTTCATTTTTTTCATACATATGGATGCAGCACAAATCTCAAATCCGCATGGAACATTATAAGCAGTATCCAAAGTCTTGATACTGCTGTCTGCCCTGCGTATTAAATAAGAAATATCCGTCTCTAATGATACATCTCAAAGCCATCCTGAGTGAAAATTTCAAGAGTGCATTTGGTAAATCTTGAGATTTTATCTGTACTTATCCCAGTAACATTCCCTGAAGATAACGCCTCTTGCAACCATTGGTAAAATCGTATTTTTTTTTTTTTTTTTCATAGAAATGGCGGTTGAGAATTAGCTGGGTTAATGAGGCCATTGGGTTGAAATCATCTCTTAAATTTCCTTTACCTTTTAAAAATATGAGCAAAATTTCCTGGACTGCACAGAAATTTTAATGATAAGTTTATTACACCTGTGCTTCCTGACCATGCGCCTCTATAGTAGAATTGGCAAGAGTGAGGGAAAGAAACTGCCCACCTTGTGTCTTCTGTCTTACTTCATATTGTAGGCCAGCTAGACATTTCCATGAAAAGACTCTAGGTAAGTGTAATTATGGAGTAAGATTGCCTGAGCAGTCATACTGGCTTCAAGACCCAGCACCCAAACATTAGGCCTAGGTAATATTACTTCATTAAAACAGAATTTTCACCGTGTTATTTCTAGATGTGACATACCTAGGGAAATCACAGATTAATACTTTTCTGACCTTTCAGTTGCAGAGGCCACCAAAATGTTGGCCTACCTGCAACTACCTACCTGCATTCTTACATAATTTATATCCTTAGCACTATTATTAACTGCTTTGATGGCAAGCCAAAAACATAAAAGCCTTGAAAAAAATCTAAGTTGTGATTTTCACCCATCTTCAAACTAAAGCTACAGGTTCTGTGTTTCAATTTATTACATGAGAGTTACATATATTGGGAGAGAAAGAGCAAGAGCTTATAGGCCCTATTTAAAATTTTTTTGCTTTGTCCCATCACCATCCTTGTACCCTTTGACGCTTTCTCCCTTCAGAACCCTCACTTTATTAGTGTCCACTAGTTTTTCTAAGTATTTTGCTTTAGTGAATCATCTGCTGTGTAAGCATTTAATATTTGTCTTTGTCATTCTGACTTGCTTTACTACACTTAATTCCCCAAACACCTTCCATTTTGCTGAAAGGGCAACATTTCATATAATATTTAGTACTTTGTTGTGTGGCTATATTGCATCATCTCAATCCAATTCTCTATTAATGCATACTTTAGGTTCTTTCCATGTGGAAGCTACAGTAAATAGTGTTGCAATAAACAGTATAGTGCATAAAATTATTGAGTTGATGATTTTGTTTTTCAGATAGATGCCCAAGAGAATGGGATTGCTGTCATATGGTATTTCCATTTTTAGCTTTTCTTGTTTTTGTTTTTTAGTGAAATACCACTGCTTTACATCCTTGTTAATTTTTTGACAGTGTAGGATTTCTCCCATCATGTGTGGTCACCATAACTCTTCCATCACCAAAACACCTCTAGTCCTCCACCATAGTCCATTGTGCTATCATCCTCCCCTCTCGCTCTCCCCCTCTTTTCCATTCCCCTTCCCCTCTCCCTCCCCTCCTGAAGCCTCAGGTCTATGATCAGCTTTCAAAGGTTGATTTTGAAGTTTGACCCTTTGGTTTCTCTTTATTCCACATATAGTGAAATCATCCTGTATTTAGCTTTCTCCTGGCTTATTTCACTTAGCATAAGCCTTTCCAGCTCCATCCATGTAGCTGCAAATGGTATGAGTTTACCTTTTTTGATTGCTGAGTAAAATCCCATTCTGTATATATACCCTGCCTTCATCCACTCACCTGTTGTTTCCATAGCTTGGCTATTGTAAATAATGTGTAATAAACATAGGAGATTCTCTTTGAATTAGTGTTTTTGTGTTCTTGGCGTAGAAACCTAGGAGTGCTTTCCAAAATGGCTGCACCAGCATTGCATTCTCACCAACATTGTAATAGGGTTCCTCTTTCTCTGCATCCTTTCCAGTACTTGGTCAATTTAATATCTTCCATTTTCATTTGCGGGATATCTTTCATTATGGTTTTGAGCATCTCCCTTGTTAAAAGCAAAAATGAACATTTTTTCATCTGTTGATCTTCTGGGTATCTTTTTTGACTAAATGCTCAGATCTGCTGCCCATTTATTAATTGGTTATTTAGTTAGCTATTGTTAAATTCACTAAGTTGCTTGTATATCCTGTATATTAATCCTTGTCAATTATATAACGTGAATATTTTCTACCATTCAGTGGGATGTCTTTTTAATATACTAGTATTTTTTGCCACTGTGTAAGAGCTTTTTGATTTAAGGTAATCCAATTATTTATTTTTACTTCCTTGCCAATTTTTAACTTCCTTGCCATAGGGGTTGAGTCTCCAGAGACCGGTTTTGTCATGAAATCAAGACATCATCATGATGTCATGAATTGTCTCACTAATGGTTTCTTCTATATATTTTATTTTGCAAGTCTTAGATCAAAGTCTTTAATCCATTTGGAATTTTTTTGTGTGCATGGAGCTAGAGAGATCTGACATTGTTTTACAGATGAACATTCAGTTTTCCAAGCACCATTTGTTAAAGAGTCTGTCCTTTTCTATTGCGTGGTCATGACACCTTTATCATTAATTAAGTGTTGAGGTATATGTGATTTGTTTCTGGGCTTTCAATTTTGTTTCATTGATCCTTGTGTCTTTTTATTCTATCAATAATACCATGTTGTTTTAATTACTATTGCTTTACAGTATAAGGTCAGGAAACATGATGCTTCTATTTTTCTCAGGATTACTTTTGTTATTCAAGGTCTTTTGTGGTTCCATGTAAATTATAATATTTTTATTCAGTTCTTTGAAGAATATTGTTAGCATTTTGGTGGCAATTGCATTAAATTTACATAATTTACCAAGGTAGAATAGTCATTTTGACTACTTTGATTCTTTCCATCCACGAGCACAGAATGTCTTTCTACCTCCATATGTCATGATCTGCATCCTTTAATAATATTTTGTAATTTCCTTTATATAAGTCCTTTATCTTCTTGATTAATTCCTACATACCTGATTATTTTTGATGCAACTATGAATTGAATTATCTTCTTATTTTCCTTCTAATTCATTACCTGTAAAAATTAACCAATTTTCTGTGTTGATTGGGTAATCCCCTACTTTGCTATATTCATGTGTTGTTTCTGGTAACTTTTAATGGAGTCTTTGGGATTTTATATATATGTATAATCATGTCAGCTATGAATAATGATAGTTTCACTTCTACATTTCCAACTAGATCCCTTTTATTTCCTGTTGTTGTCTTACTGCTCTATCTCAAACCTCTAATATTAAATTAAGCAGAGTTGGTGATGATGGGCATCCTTCTCTTGTTCCTGATCTCAGGAGAAAGTTTTCCCTTTTTTGCCATTAAGTATTATGTTGGCTGTAGGTTTGTCATTTTTAAAATCTTATTAAGTTCAGAGCAATTGATGAAGAAAAGATCACAGGTTGTGTTAATAAACTACCAGTCCTTGCTCTGTAGAAATTCTCAAATTGCCATCACAAAGATAATTTACCACCATAGATGGCTTTGTTGCTTCTACCTTCATAAACTTTCTGGAAGAGGAGTCTGCTGTCACTGTCTCAAATTGCTTTCTCCCCATTCATTCTTCCTCTTTGATTCTTTGATTCTTTGATTCTTCCTCTGCTTTTTCTACTTCCAACTGGGTGTTTTTACATCCTACTTCAAACTTTTTTGTTCAGATCACTGGTACCTAATGTCATGCAACTGCCGCTGACTGCTTGTTTTCAGTTCTATCACTTGTCTCTTCTTCATTGGACATGACCCACTATTATAATCCCTCTGCTTTCTGTCTATGGCAACACTGTCTTCTTATTACTGTTCTCTCACTATTTCCAGTTATTTTGCTAACTCTCTCCTCCTTTGCCCCTTACATGTGGGTATTCTGAGAGTTTCTTTCTTGAACCTCTTTTTTTGTTTTTAAACTAACCAGATTATTTTGCATGGTTTCAAATACACTGGTTGTCCTAAAATTAATATTTCAACCCTGTCCCTCTCCCAAACTCTAAACTCTGCTTCCAAATGCAGTTTCTCATATCTGTCTAGTGGTTTAGATATAGAGCATACATAGCAGTTCTAAAACTGTCTTCATATTCCATCTTCTCCCCTTCTTCCCACCCCAAACTGCTTAGCCTTTGTATTTTCAATCTACTAATGCCATCTCTATTTACTCAAAGCTAGAAACCTTTTGTTGTTGTTGTTTCCTTTTGGACATTCTTTCTCTATTTTAAGATATAATTTACATATAACATTATGTTCGTTTCAGGAGTAGAACATAATGATTTAATATTTATATATATTACAAAGTGATTACCACAATGTCTAGTTAACATCTGTCACTACACAGTTATTAATTTATTTTCTTGTGATCAAATCTTTTTAAGTTCCACTCTCTCTTCGCAATTTTCAGATTTACTATTCCCAGCCTGTACATTGCATTCCCAGGGCTTATTTATTTTATAACTAGAAGTTTGTAAAAGCTAGAGGCCTTTGATTCTTCCTCTGCTTTTTCTACTTCCAACTGGGTGTTTTTACATCCTACTTCAAAACCTGTTGAATCTGACCTTTCCTAATCTGCAGCCTCATCACTAAGGCCATTAACTTCTGTTCTAGCATGCTTCCTGTCCATGCTCTACTGCCACCACTATCGACCTGACAAATTACTTCCATAGTTCAAAACATGTATTTATCCCTTTTTTCTACTGGATGAATTATAAACTTGAATTTCATAGTTAAGCCCAAGCAGATTGTGAGTCTAATTATCCATCTTCCCTTCCGCTGTTCCACCATGTAGACCATACTTCTTTGCAGACTGTATTTCTTTATGGACAATATTACATCTTTTAATTTTACTCATTGCTGACTTTTTTGCCTATAATACTTTATTCCACAACCTTATTTCCTGGCATTTTCCTATTTGTTCACCACCAGTTCAAATTTCAACTGTCTCAGGCATAGTTAGTTGCTCTGCCTAGTGTCCCTCTTCATCACTAAGTATCTCAAACTTCAATTTTATTCAGGAAAGCCCCTTATTCATTGTTATATACCCAGAATTTAGCATCAGATCCTGTACCTAAATGCTTATACATAGGTGTTGCTTGATGAGAGAAAAAAAGAAATCTACTAACCAAAATGAAGATAAAACCAGAAATTTAGAATTCCAAAATAAATCATTTCATACTCTTTTGAAGAGAAAGCAAATCTTTATGTTTGCCTTTTTTGAAATGTTGTTCCTCGTTCTATGAGACCAACGTCACTCTGATACCAGAACCTGACAAGTACATTACCCCCCACAAAAAAAAAAGAAAAAGAAAATTACATACTAGTATTCCTGATGAGAATAGATGTAAAAATACTCAACAAAATCTTAGCAAATCAAATTCAACAATACATCAAAAGAAACATATATCCTGACCCAATAGGGTTTATTCCAAGGACAAAAGGATGGTTTAAAATCTTATAATTAATCAATGTAATGCATTACATCAACAAAAGTAAGGGCAAAAATCATATGATCATATCAATAGATTGCAGGGAATGCACTTGATGAAAGTCACATCCATTTAAGATAAAAATGCTCAAAAAATGAGCTAGATGGAATATGCTTTAACATAATAAAGGCCAAGTACAACAAACCCACAGCCAAAATATTCAATGATGAAAGACTATAAATATTTTTCCTCCAAGGTCTGGTACAAGACAACAATGTTCACTTTTACCATTCTACCCAACAAAATATTGGATGTCCTAAGTAGAGCAGCTAGGCAAAAGAAAGATAAAAGGAATATAAATTGGAAAAGAAGTAAAACTTTCCGTTTTCATTTGACATAATATACATAGAAAATCCTAAAAACTTCACTAATAACAAATCGAAATATAAATCAATGCAGTAGAGAGTCAGGGTACAAAATCAGTTTACAAAAATCAGTTTCATTTCTGAATGCAAGCAATGAGCTAGGAGAGAGAGAAATCAAGAAAACAAATTCATTCATACTTGCAAAAAAAAAAAACTAGGCATAAATTTAACAAAGCAGGTGAAGAACCTATACAATGAAAACTAAGACATTCCTAAAAGAAATTAGAAGAAGACACATAAAGAATGTAGAAAGATAGTCCCTGTTCATGAGTTGGATGAATAAGCGTAGTTAAAATGGTTATCTTATCCAAAGCAATACACAAATTCAGTGTAATCCCTATCAAAGCTCCAATGTCATTCTTCAAGGAAATA